CCTGATTGCTGATGCTTTTGCGAGCTTTTTAACGCTGACAAGCTGACTAAATGACGTGCTTTGATTTAGGTTTGATTACGTGATGTCGGGCCCTACATTTGTATAAGCGGCAAATTCTGTCTTGACAACCAGATCTTAGCGAAAGTAAGTTGGTACCTAAGATGTGATGGTATCTTTCGGGTCCTATTGTGATGCGGACATCCATTGACTGATCTTTTGGGCTGCTGGAACGGTCGAAATTTTTTTTTCAGGTGATGCGACAAATGCGCGAGACATCTTCAATCCTGCAGTTGAGCTATTGAAGAATTTAACGTGCGTAACTTGTGCAATACATACTTTGCCCTGTTGTGGTTCGGTGTTTAGAGGTTATTGGGTGCGTTGGTCTCTGGTAAATGAGGCGGCAGAGCGTTGCCATGGCGACTGTTAGTTGGCTCTGGGCTTGTGAGTGTTGCTATTAGAGTGCTTGACGGTTTTCTCGCTCGGTGAGTGGGTTGTCGTTGTGGCCTGCCGTGAGGTGTCGTTTGGCGCTGCCTGCGGATGGGTGCTGCTGCTCCAGACAGATGTGAGTGAGTGCGTTTGTGAGTGTCGGCGCCTCAGACCATCAGTCGCATCGGCTTCGATGCCGCGGGTGGGCTGCTGCCATGACATCAATACAGTTCTCGTGTGTGCGAGCGTTTGCTCCTACACTGGATACGTTACTGTGACGACCACTATCCAAGTAGCGTTGGCCCTGGTTACTTTTAAGGCAACAGTAGTAGCTGCACGAACGTCAGCGGTGATAAGTCCAACGAAAAAACCCCCAAAAGACGGACTGCGTCGCTGCGCTCGACGCAGCAATTCACAAGTGTGGGTTGCACGACAAGTGATATCATTCAAAGAAATAATGATAAGGCGAATTAAGTGAAATACGAATTTGGTGGAAGTGGTTATAAGTGTTTCGAGGGAGCATTGTCCGACGAGTCGAGACTGCTGTCACTCGATTTTCCGGGGGGAGATGTATCGTCTCGATTTCTTTCTCCCTCAGTGTTCGAGGAGGCAAGCGGCTGACCGTCGATATCGTTACGAGCAATAGAAGACAGCGAGGTGGCACGTGAATTACCAGAGAAGTAATGCATTGAGAAGGTCGCAGCGGGTGCGTTTGTGGCGGGAGTAGTAGAAGCAGCAACAGCAATAGCATTGACAACGGTAGAGTACTCATCCTCAACAGAGGGTCTCTGTTGGCGACTGTTGTTGTGGTATCTCCTGCGACGTCTACGTTGGTGATGTGCCACTGGCAGCGATGGCGGTACAGCGTCCAGCAACTGATTACCCGTAGTCTCCATGCCAGCGGCGTCCAAGGTGGCTTCGGAGTGGAGGGAGAAGGTTGACAAGTCGGCCACTAGGGAAGAGGAGGGTGTTGAGGGCTCCTCCACTTCAAGTAGTCTCGGGCGCTGGTGGCGTAGAACACTAACCGTGTCTACGTAGACGGAAGGCCTGGGACTCCCCGCCGTCCCAGTGTTACTACCACCAGCGCCAGCAGCAGAATCGGTAGCTGGTGATAGTAGCTGTGTCCCAGATAGCTGCAAGGAACCTTGCTGCTGCATATCACCATGAGCTGCTTCTCCCGTCGGGTCACTATTTGGGGCATCCACTGTAGCAGCTGGACACTCCAGATGAACAAGATGAAAAACGTCGTTTGCTGTGTTACCAGTTCCCGTGATGCGTATGAAGGTGACTGGTTGCAGAGGGAATTTGATGGTCTGCCAAGAGCGACAGAGGAGATGAGTGGCGTCGAAGACCACAGTCCAGGTGAGACGATCTTGAGATACCTCAACGATGTAACTGTATGCTCGACTATCAAGGTCCCATAGCAGAAATCTGAAACCAATCATTAATGCAGCTAAAAGGCTCGTCGTCAATGTCCCCCATCGTCACGACGTAGGACAACGTTCTCCCTCTCCCAACAGATTATGTGATGGAGTTGTAGCCTAGTTTTTGTTAGCCTGGAAATCATACTAGTTAAAAGTAACAGAGTAAGGATTAACCCACCGCATGGATGCGACTATGAAAGGCTGCGACAGTTGGACGTCAATGGAGCCGTTGCCAAGTTGGTGGCATGTAAATCCGTAATTAAGGTTGTAAACGGAGACATCACCATCAATAAGTGAATTTCGGAGCCTGCTTACTCCCTCCAGTACCGTTGCTCCGTGGTGAATTGTTGCCACATTAGACCGTGGCACCTACAAGGGCCAGGAGTAGCGCAATAAGAGGAAGTAGTGTAAGGCCAGGAGAAAAGATAAACTGCATTCCTCTTATCACACCTACCAGAAGGTCATTCTGAACTATAAACTTTTCGCGAGTGTAGAGACACTGAAACGTTATGAGATGGAAGTACTTGCCCACAGAGCTGCGAGTGCCCACAATGCGAATGTAGCGAATAATGCGGCTGGGAAAGTAGAGTGTCTGCCAGGATCGACATGCGTAGTTGCTATAGTCAACTACTTTCTCCCAGGAGCTCTCATCCAACGACTGCGAAACTTCCACGAAGTATGAATACGACCTAAAATCACGTTCAATACGGACTTTGCCACGTTGAAGGTGTGAAAAATAACTAACGCAAATACCTTTTTTGCTTAGTGATTACTCATCTTCTCTTTGGTGCAGATTTGAGGGTCCAGCAAGTTGTGGCAGGAGTAGAGCTACATGTCTATGTTTGGTCAGATTTTGCAAGCAAGACTCCTCCTCCATTCTCCACGTTTTTCTCCCACACATGAGTCAATTGACACCTGCTGCCAATGTGTTTGGTAATTTGCTTAAACCTCCAAACAGCAAAATTTTTTTAATTCAACCACGAGAGCCGGATAAAATGTGTTTTCCTTTTTATCATTGACCTTACTAATTTTACTAGATGATTTTAGGAATCTTCAAATATAACAGGTCCTGTGGTTTTTAAGATGTTCTGTACACCCCAATGAAGGACTACGTTTAGGCCTACCTTGGTTCACGATCCCACAGCTGCATGGAGATGAAATTCACGTAGGAGTTGTGACCTAAGTCTACAACGATGCCTTCGTTCCGCCCTCCGATTAGGTGTGACACTACGGACAGCTCGGACTCAGGAGGGGGTTCATGTGGCGTTCGTCGATCCCTTTTTGTTGCTGACGTCACAGGCGTGGGTGTCCGCGTGCCACGAAGCCAAGAGTGAAGATGCATCGCGGCCCCCGATGGTCCGCTAGCAGCATCACGGTTTTGGTAGAATGAGATTGGGGGCGCACTGCCTGTCTGAGACATGCCAATCGGCGGCCACTCTGGCGAAAGGAGTGCATCAACAATCCAGTTTCAGACTTTTATGCATGTTACGGTCGGTCTTCACAGTGCTGTTTCAGGTTTCGGCCTCAGTTCCTTTGCGTTACTTAAGGTAGACTAGTTTTAAAGTCCGTTCCTACACTAGTGTTGCCACATACTCACTATTTTGTGTCATGAAGTTATGACGCCCTTAATACTATCAACACAAGAG